GGGTCCTCCGGAGGACCCGGCCTGTCGTTTTGGACACAGCCATTGTCCAAGATTAACCTTCAGGGTGGATATAGCTCGCTAGCAGCCTCGCACCGAGGACCTATCCACGTCATCATTTACCCAGAATGCTTTGTGTGCAAATAAAATGGCTCCGTCCGTGTTAAAATACATTTTAAAACTTTTAGTTTAAAAATTATAAAAACTAAACAGCCTACAGTATTTTTACAGTCTTTATTTTGGAGTTAAAATAAATGTTAATCAAATAGTTTAATGTTACAACTAATCGGGGATCCCTTTAACCGGAGTTACTCCTCATTAGATCGTCGGGTTGTGTTACTCTCAGCTTCACATCACAGCGTCAGGCTGTGTTGTTGTGACAGAGCGTTGTGTTGTTGGAGTGAGAGAAAGCAATAAAAGGTCATTTCTGCACTGCTCCATCACTTACAGCTCCTCTTTTCCATCTCTGAGCTGTTTCCTCCCACATGGTCGTCCCTTCCACCTTCCTTTTTCTCTGACATTTGTCTCTCTTACAGTTATTCTCTCCCTCCCTCTCCTCCATCCTGTCCTTTTCTTACCCCCTCCCTCCCTCCAGTCCTTTTCAATTTTTCATACAGCTGAAAGACCCAAGTTTTAAAAATAGCTCCCGTATCAAATATGTAGGGTGCGTTTTGGCAGCAGGGTTATCTGGGTGACAGAGCGGCGCAGGGTGATCAATAATCTGGACATGGAGAAGATATCAATAGATTAACTGAACATGTTCAGTTTCTGTCTTAGAAGTCTCTTTTTATTTTTTATTTTTGTGTTGTTGCTCAGGTCAGCAGTTTGTTTTCGACATCTTTTAATAGTTATCAAAGGGATATTGTAGGTTTTTTGAAGTGGAGTTCTGAGCAAAGGTTTAAACAGTATCTTACCTGTTGTGGGTATCACTGTGAAAAACCTCAGTTTGGAGAAACAAAGTTGATTTATGCAAACACGACCTGAACTATCCTTCCTTTTAGGTTGGTTGTTGGTTAAATTGTGATTTAAAATATTATGGTTCATTTAATTACAAGATAAATGTTTTGTTTTTACATGACCTCTTTTACTGCTTGTATTCAGTTATGCTGTTAGAGTGAAGACACATTTTATTAGACAGMTGGGTCGGGGTAAAAGAACTGGAGGTTCTGGGGAGAACAGGACATGAATAGTACCTTGTGGGTTCCTTGCAGCAAGTAAAAAGAGAGCTCAACCAGATCTGCTGCTTGTTTATTATTCCTTGTGTCTAGATAATTAATTTATCTAAAACTGGTGAAAGATTTTTTTTTAATTCTTTAGCTTGTTGGTGTTGCCGTTAAACCTGCATTTCCAGAAGGTTTGCTGCACAGAACCGTGTTTAAAGTTGTCCTTGTTGACTGTTTGGTAACAGGGGCAGCTGATTGGCTGAAACATCTGTCAGTCATTGTTTACTGCCCCCAGTTTGACCTGTTGAAACACGAGAAAAGACTAATCTTCTCCGTTTGCGATCAACAAATACTCTTTAATTTTTGGTCAAACTGATCCTACAGCAATATCTACACCAGTGTTTCCCAAAGTTGGGGCCGGGACCCAAAGTGGGGTCCCGAAACATCAAGGTGGGGTCCTGAAAAGATTTTCTGAATTAATTACATTTTTGCCTTAGTTGTTACAAAGGAGTG